GGCACTGGGGATGGAGGGCCAGGTAAGTATGCCCATTATCATGAACTGGTCATAAGAAGGAAGAACGACTTTGCCTCCTCCTGAGCCAATTGTTACCATTAAAAGTGTGTCATATTTGAAGCGTCTAGGAGTGACTTTTCAGGATAGAGCTACCAACCGGCTTGATGGGAAGAGCTCTAAAACGAATACATATACTTAGAGTATGTAAAAGAAATGGTTATAGTGTATCTGATCTTGATTACCTCTTTAATTGCCTCATTATGTCACTTTTTACTTACTGTATCAGAGTTTGGGGTGTTGCTGCTTATACCAAATGCCTTAGTTAAATTGATAAGCTATTGAGAAGGGCCTTTCGATTTGGGTATATTGAACATGAAACATCGATTCAACAGGTTATTAAAGACAGGGATGTGAGGCTCCGTACTTCCTCGCATCCCCTGAAGGATCTTCTCCCCCCACGTAAGAACAGGGCTCTACGCGGTAGGTCGGTAGGTCGCATCCCACGTGTTAATACAGAGAGGTAAAAGAAATGCTTTGTAAATAGACGTCTCTTTGATTCTAAATAGATTGTAATTAACACTTAGACAGTTGTATCTTTATTTATAATGGATCTTGTAAGTTTTAGCGTTTTTTTAACACCTTGAATAAAGACTTCGCCTCGCTTCTCCCAATCGCAGTCTGGGGGGCACAGTTACCACCATCCACCCAGCATCTTTAGGACATCCACCATAGACACTGTTAATGACGAAGTGACGGCCGTTGCCAGGATCTCCATGGATTGAAAAGCAGTTGTTTGGCTGAGTCTTCATGTCATTCCAGGAGCTCTGATTCAGTCTGCATGAACTCTGAATATTGTGCCACGATCACGCAACTCACCGTCTGAAAAAGAAACACTTCTCACGGGGTTTCAGATACAAATAAAGGTTAAAAAACCTGTGAAGTTAATTGTGGCTGCAAACACCTTTTGCAGATATTAAAAAAAAATTAAAGCAGCAGAAGGGAGCGTGACCTTCCAAAACAAAACACCCTTTTCTTCAGTGGACGACTTTCGTGATGTAGTGTCGATGCTACCATGTAGCCCGACTAATAAAGGCAAGTAGAATCTTTGCGGCTGTACGAAAAAGGCTGATCGACAGTAATAACTCATGGAGTCCTTCGTGGCTTTTTGAATCTCATTGTAGTCGAGCCCGCAACATTAAAAAAGCGGCCACTATTGCAAATTGATTAGCGCAAAAACGGCGCAGTGACTTTTCAGTTTAATTCATTTCTTTGAGCATTCTGCATAAATTACATTACGCATAATTATGTCATTCTGCAAGCCATGCCTCATGCCATTCTGCAAATGCATTCGGCCTTTTACTCTCACCACGCTGAAACTTAGTAGAAAGACAAAAAACAACACCAGTTACATTTATTTCGTACTTTATTCAGGAATATTACCCTCTTGAGTATATAAAAGATTTATTTCCCCTACAACTTAACCCCTCATACTCTCATACTACGCTTGAGCAAGCTGTGGCTCGAGGTACAAACGGTACAGTTTGTTTCGAAGGCAGGATTCATTGGTTTGTCTGCTCGATCTTGTGGTGCAACAGACAAAACTGCCCTGAAAACAATGATACTATTTTTTTCCCAGTTGCCCGAAAAAATAACGTATCTAGGTTTTGTTTCCCGACCGTTATTTACGCATTTCCTCTATAAACAGCGATGTCAAGTATTGAACAGGTCTACGCAAATAGCCAGCCGCTGTCCGTTAACTGCGGACGATCGAACAGCAGTCTACAGAGTTTGTACGAACAGTCTAAGAACAGCAGCTATTAGTGTTGAAAAAGTGACAGTGACTTTGCCTTATTTTTAAAATATTTTATTTATCTGTTAATAATTATTCTTTTAATTATTTCCCTAACTAAAAACGGAAACCCCGACTTCAATCAGGCAAAAAGTGCACTACTCAGAAAAAAAGAATAAAATGTGCAAATGGCTAATTACATTAGATGGAATACTTACATTCTGCATTTTCCTGTTTGAGCTAGTTGTCGTTTACATATTCTCTTTTATTGACATTCATTACCATGTCTCTGTATTACTATCAGACATAATTTGATCCTGTATTTCGAGTTGTATGTTTTTGTTCTCTATCCCGTTCAGGTGTTGTTCCGGTTTCAATTCCGGCCTTCTTGGTTTCAAATGTACCGACTGGAGTCTAGCCCAGGGATGAGTATCAAATCTACCTTGGGTGCCGTTGACGGTTTCGCCTCCGCAGTTGTCTCTTTCGTAAACGGTCGCTACAATTTTCAGACACTTCAAAAATTTTTGACCCGTAACTGAGAGAGTTTCTATGAAAAAGAAAGAAAATCGTAACGTGGGGTCAAACCAGGACTCGAACCCTGACCCTTCGTATCCTAATTTCTCTCCCTTACCACTACAATACCACACCGAACAGCCAAAATTCCGAAACATTTAAGTAAATACAGTCACAAACTGTCTTTCTAAACTGTTACAACAATAACAGGTAACTCTAGCCCTTTTGGTAAATTTTAACGAAAATTCAACTTAGGCTCCAACGTTCTTTGTCTTCTTTCTGACTCTATTCGAAAACGTATTTTTTGCCTTTTGGTAACTTAATTCAGAGAATATATTACATCCATCATGACTAAAGGCTTGGTTACTAATGGTGGCATCGACCGTTTAAAATGGCAAAGGCCGTTTACGAAAGGGAAATAGGCGTCGCCTCCTCCGCAGACCACTATAAACCCCAAGGCCCGCCCCTCGGTTCAATTGAAACCAAGATAGCCTCCCAAAACGGTAAGCACTCAGTCTCGACAATCGTAAGCCTGGTTTTCTTATGTCGGGAAGATCTAGACGATCGAGGATTTTAGTGTTTCCCGAACGTCCCAGATTTTGCCGACTAATGAAACACGAAACTTAGATATCCCCGATCGTCTCGGATAGTCGGGGACAAAGATGGAAACTCGAGAGCGTTTCTTTTTTCCCGACGCGTCTCAGATTTCACCGACAAATAAAAACTAAAATTTTTACTGCTGGGGATGTCGGTGGTGGATTTCGCTTATTACCATCATCTAAACTGCTGGCTCCCAGTCCCCCTATCACAAATTTCGGTACAAATGTCCATTTTTGACCCACTTTCAATTTCCAGCCAAATTCAATACTGGGAGAATCTGGGACAGACTTCAGGCGATTATCCTACGGTCGGCAAAAAGTAAAATCCCCGATCGTGTGGGATTTTCCCGACATATAAAAACCAGGACCTTCGTATCCTAATTTCTCTCCCTTACCACTACAATACCACACCGAACAGCCAAAATTCCGAAACATTTAAGTAAGTACAATCTCAAACTGTCTTTCTAAACTGTTACAACAATAACAGGTGACTCTAGCCCTTTTGGTAAATTTTAACGAAAATTCAACTTAGGCTCCAACGTCGTTCTTTATCTTCCTTCTAACTCTATTCGAAAACGTATTTTTTGCCTTTTGATAACTTAATTCAGGGAATATATAACATCCATCATGACTAAAGGCTTGGTTACTAATGGTGGCATCGACCGTTTTAAATGGCAAAGGCCGTTTACGAAAGGGAAATAGGCGTCACCTCCTCCGCAGACCACTATAAACCCCAAGGCCCGCCCCCTCGGTACAATTGAAACCAAGATAGCTCCCAAAACGGTAAGCACTCAGTCTCGACAATCTTAAGCCTGGTTTTCTTATGTCGGGAAGATCCCAGACGATCGAGGATTTTACTGTTTCCCGAACGTCCCAGATTTTGCCGACTAATGAAACTCGAAACTTAGATATCCCCGATCGTCTGGGATAGTCGGGGACAAAGATGGAAACTCGAGAGCGTTTCTATTTTCCCGACGCGTCTCAGATTTCACCGACAAATGAAAACTAAAATTTTTACTGCTGGGGACGTCGGTGGTGGATTTCGCTTACTACCATCATCTTAACTGCTGGGCTCCAGTCCCCCTATCACAAATTTCGGTACAAATGTCCATTTTTGACCCACTTTCAATTTCCAGCCAAATACAATACTGGGAGAATCTGGGACAGACTTCAGGCGATTATCCTACGGTCGGCAAAAAGTAAAATCCCCGATCGTGTGGGATTTTCCCGACATATAAAAACCAGGCTTTAAGGAAAAAATAGGGAACCGTGAACAGTTAACCGAACAGACTGAGTGAAGTTTCCTTAAAGTGCCCATCACCTAAAATTTTTTATTTTCTTATCTGAAACTATACCTCATTAAAAAATCTTCTGCGAAAAACTTTTGCCATTTCAACAAAACGCGATTTTTTAACCAATTTTTGAAGCCGACATTTTTGCGGTACACCCGTGCCGCTGATCACGCAAACTAGCAGGTTCATATATGACGTCATGTGACGCAAATTTAGGAACTCGCATTACCTTTCCTTCACCAGCTGTACACAAAAAAGATCAATTACAAGTAAGGATTGAATCACAATGTCTTCGCAAGAAGAAAGTTTTCCTGAAACAGAAAAACCTACCAGAACTTTTAATGTTTTCCTGTAGATAAAGTCACGTGTTCCTCAAAGTACATCATACCCCGAAAGAAGACTGAGACGAATGGTGTGCCAAAATGGCGGCAAATTTGAACGTTTTTAAAAAATTCTAAAAAAATCGTCTTTGGTTCACATCGCAAATTTTTTTCGCAGAAGTTATTTTTATAAGGTGTATTTTCAGATAAGAAAATAAAAAATTTTAGGTGATAGGCACTTTAAACCTTCGCGACATGAATGAATTTTTTAGCCTATCATTTAAAGCCAAACACACAAATGACGTCACGGAAAGTCTCTAGTCCTTAATCCTTTAATCTGCATGAAATACATCATTGTTAAAACATGTTCTCAAAGTGATACCATGTCGTCCATTTTGTAGTCAAAATGATTTTTATAAGAAAAATGTTGAGAATCAAGAAAAATGGTTAAATCAACGTCTAGTAAACGGTATGAATCATTTACCTCCTACAATTGTTCCGTTTTCTGAAGTCTTGGAAGACAAGACAAGCTTTCGTAAAAATCAATTGTAACATCCAATGGAGAAAACCAGCCGCCATAATGATGGTAATAGGGACCTTTTCCATAAGGTGTTAAATACGACGACCTTTTTAATTCCAATATTACTGCAATGAGATCCAGTGACTTATAGCGCTTGTTTAAAAGCTCCAACACCGTGCCCAGACCAACCCGTCTTGGCAAATACACCTGAAGAGTTTCTGGAGGAATTTCTCCCGGATTCATCAGTCTTGACGGGTCACTGATTATCACCACCTTCGTTTGTGGAATGAGAGGCAACTTTTCTTTCAAACAGTCATTTACTATTTTCGCATGCTTGAAAAAGTCCTCTGAATAGTATCCAGACTCGAGTCTATTCGCAATGACTACGACAAAAAGGGTCGATTCGTTACCTATAAAGTGAAAACAAACGAAGTTAAGAGGATAAAAAAAACTGTTCTTACTATCAGTTATCGGATTCGACTTTCGTATGATCCAAATCAGAAGCAGAACCTAATATTATTCGTGGATAAAACATGCTAACCTCGATCGAAGTCCATTTGCCTATTTACAGCGGTCTTTCCAAGCGTCTAAAAAGGGCACATACAAAATGAATTCATTATCATCGAGGACTGTCATTCTGACACCTTGCTTTGCCCGCTCTTCTCTCCATGGCACCTTTTTCTGATGGTTTATTTTTTCTCCTCCCACCTCATCCCACCCAACTCCGCCACGGTTCTGTATCTCTCATCCCAAAGAGGCCGCCAGCAGTTTTCCCCATCCTTAATAGAAGCGTGGGCGAGATCGGTGTAAATAGTAAAGTGTTCCTTGGTAAATTCAGGATATAAAGGACATTTTTTAATGGCCCTCGCCGACATTTTGGGATATGTTATCCGTCAAGTTGGTCAAAAGGTAGATAACGCTCCAGGGGTAGGGAGCCTGCGGGCAGGTACACTTGTGCGAATTGGGGGAAATTCGAGGATGATCAAATGGAGACAGAAATCTTAAATAAGCCACCAGTGTATGCCGGCCGCGTAATTCCGCCAATAAAGTTTAAACAAACTTGTGTTTTTGTGCTCTTTTAAAAGAAGCTACACATTACATTGTATCTCACACTAATTATTCCAGAAAACCTGTTATGCATACTCCGCAAAGTGCCTGCGGTGTGTCCAAATAGGCTTAAATTTCGTTTAGTCGATCAATAATGTTCATTGCGTCCCCTAATTCTTTCTCATCAAAGGAATTCCCTTTTGCTGTGGTGATTTCTCAAGCTCAGACATGATTTTGCATGGAAGTTTTTGGAGATTAAGTTTGGGCCTTGAGATTTCTTTTCGCGGGGGGGGGATTTTTTCGGTTTATTTTAGATTTCTGTCTCCATTTGATCATCCTCGTTACTTTTTAAGTAATAGAAGGCCGCTATGAGGTTACGCATTTAAGCTCCACTTCCCCCCCTACCTGCCCCATGTAGGAAGTCATATCATGTTGACTATCACCGTTTACTAACCTTTAACATATGCCTGTTCCATCCATTTGTTGAAGTGGGTTGAGACAGCACCGTTAAATTTCTCATACTCTGCCTGAAGTTCTTCATTCTTCTTTTCTAAATCCTTGGTTATCTTCTTGCTTTCTTTTTTCAACCGCCTTATTTCTTTTATTAGCTTTTCTAGTTCTTCTTTCATCGCTGACTCCTTTTCTTCGAACATGGTCAACAGCTCCTCGTTTTTTAATTCCCGGTAAATCGCTCCTGCTCCAACCATATACCGGCCATGGTCAACTGGTACTTTATTTTCCAGCGCTTCTTTCAGTTCTTGTTCTCTGTTCTTTGCATCCCATATAGAGGAGCGTTTTGAGTTGTTAAGTTCTCTAAGCCTTTGCAGATCTTTACGCAATTCTATGCAGTTTTCTGCTGCCACTGCAATTACCTGGCACTCCGGATTCAAAGTTTTAAAAAACGACCCAAAATTTTGAGGGCTTTCGTCTGCATCATCACTACTATCGATAATCAAGACCTCCGCTTTAGTAAAAAACTTTGTAGGACGATTATTTGCATTTGGCAGTTTTTCAATTTCTTTCAACGAAAGAGCAGGTCTAAGTGCCCGTGGCTTTGTTGCCTTTTCCAACAATTCAACATAGTCGTACAACTGCAAAGCCTTAAAAACATCTTTCAGCACCTTGACTGGAGTATCAGGAAAGATATCTTTGATGTCCACCAATTCCTTGGAGTGCAATTTCATTGGATCAAGTCCAAAGGAACGGTAAAATCTATCCAGAATATCTCGGTCGCTCTTAAGTTTAGAAGTCAATTCGTCCGTTACTTCTTGACGTATATCTTTCAAGCATGGGTTGCAGACGGAATCTACAAAGTTTGACATAAAATACATCCGTTAATGTACAAGGCACATGGTCGCTTGGTTGATTAACCGTTGACATTTTTCTTAGTTAAAACATTGAGAGGGTCTATTGTAGGGGGTGGAACAGTCAGCAAACTGCCTTATTTTGTTCTCCGCTTTCGTTTTCTTCTAAAGACCGAAACCGCCTTTATGGCACAACAAACATCACAATAACTGATCCTTTGACAGTACATCGCACAATCATTTTGTACTATATGTATTTCT